CAAAAAAAATTTTTTTTGTTTCTACTGCTCAAAAAAATGCTGCAAATTTCTTTTTTTAGGATTATATTTCAGACAGTTCATTCAAATGATACATTGACAAGGCATTAATTCATTATATTTTGACAAAAGGCAATTTTTGCACACGTTTAAATGAAAACCCTATGATTCTCCACATTCCACTTCTGGACTTAATCCTTGTTTCAGTGTGACGGGTCATTTATTTTGACTACTTGAAAGATAAAACAACAGTAACACAACTAATATAATAATTAATTTTTGTTCATTATTTATTAATGATACAGAGCTGCTGTTTGTATCTGCAGGTGATGAATCCTATGGGCTGGGACGCTTTTGGACTTCCTGCTGAGAACGCAGCCATTGAAAGAGGATTGAACCCAGAGGAGTGGACCAAAAGGTCTGAGAACTCACAACTGATCATATCAATGTTTATTGTTCATCTTGAGTCTCATTTTGTTGCCCCCGCCCCCCATTTTTTTGCAGCAACATTCAGTTTATGAGGGAGCAGCTGGACAGCCTTGGGTTGTGCTTCAACTGGGACCGGGTACGTAGCAGCTGGTGAAATTAGAATATCTGCTCAGGTTAAACTACGATTAGCTTTTTTCTTTATTTTGAACTCACAAAGAAACACAACTGTAAGAGGGAGAGAATGTACAAGAWAACAACAAGTGAGGAGGTGAATCTTTTAGGTCAGTGGTGCTCCACGGTGCTCGACGGTCACAATCCTGCATGTTTTCGATGTTTCTCTGCTTCGACACACCTGGCTGAAATAAATGAGTGATTGACAGGATTCTGCAGAACTTAAAGACCCAGTAAAAAGCAGGGACAAATGGAAAACATTCAGAATCGTGGCCCTCCAGGATCAGAGACCCTTGTTTTAGTTATACAGTATGTTCAGTTGTGATGTTCAGGTGTTTGTGTGTGTTTGTATGTGTGTGTACTTGTATTTGTTACCTTTTAAGGATCATTTATGGTATACTTACCTACCTTGTCAAGAATAGTGGTCCTTATGGAGACCAAATACTGATCCTAATATAGTGGAACTCCATTTTTGTGTTGGGGTTAGGTTTAAGGTGAGGAGTCAGGGTTAGTCCATAAATTACTGGAAATGAATGGAAGTCAATGAATGGTCCTTATAAGGATAGAAATACAAACGAGTGTGTGTAAGTTAAAGTGGGAAGGTGTGTACTTTTTAGAGGAAGTAGCAAAAAGGAGAAACACTAAGTGCAATAGTTTTAAACAGGTGTTAAAATGGTTTAACATAAGAGTGCATTCATAAACATTCAAGTGTTTTATTTATTCAAATAACTTGATAAAAAGACTCGTTTTTTGTGTGATTACCCTTTGTCTTCTAAACATCATCAGTTCTTTAGGTTTTTCTTCTATTTCTGTTTCTGTGGACAGATCGTCTACCTCTCACCCAATAGATGGTTTTCATTGACGTCATCATCTGGGGCTTTTTTACCCTCYGCACCCCRTTCGTGGGTTACTATTTAGCTTGTAGTGATAAATACAGTATGGGAGAACCACAAAAGCAAGGGAGCAAAAAATGCAAAAAGGCCACTAAATGATGCAGGCGAGCATGACCAGGATAATAATACTTTGTATTTAAAACGTGCCTTTCAGGACACCCATGAATCTACTGAATAATAAATCTAAATCAAGGTATTTAGGTTTATTGAAAGTAACGATCCTTACGAGCTGTGAAGTCTGCAGAGCCGACACGGAGGCTGTGTTGACATGACTCCGTGTGACTTTCTCTGATATTATTAGTAACTATATCTTACATACTCCAAATGTGTACATACTGCATAATAAGGAGCTTTTTGTGATTATAATCTGATAATGTCAGTGTATCCTACATGCGCGTTTACAAGGGTAGATTGAATAATATTCAAAACACTTCTGTTCATAGTGCGCAATCTGTTTCTTTTCTTTTTTTTAAAGTTAACRTACTATGTGGTCACTAACCATGGTAGGAGTGATCTGAACACAGTCTGGAATCCCGAGGAGGGTGAAATCTTTGTAGTTGATTATCCCCAGCCACAAAATCACGTCGCTTTGCCGACATTTCTATTTCTTAGTGTTTCTACGCCGTCTGTTTTTCTTCTTTTTTTAAGAGCGTCTCTCTGCCACACGAGCAGCACAGTTTTGTAACTAACTCGAACTCAAACTTGCTCCGTGACTATTAAAACAACTTATAATAGAAACATACTACATAAACAATCTAGACTGTATTCATTTCTGTGCTGTAGACTATCCCAGAGGTTCTCAAACTGGGGTCCCTGGACCCCCAGGGGTCTGCGAGAGGTATCCTGGGGGTCCTCAAAATTTTTTACTAAAACGTTAATTTGGTTTTTATTTTTAAAAATGCATGGAGAACAATGAACTAATAAAAAAACATAAAAACTTAATAGAAATATACATTCCCATGGCATTTAGGGGTTGAAATGAAAATAAATTGTCTTTTAAAACAGCACGGGGTTTATGAGGGGGTCCCTGGAATTTTTTTCGCCCTTGTAAGGGATCCCCGGACTCAAAAGGTTTGAGAACTCTTGGACTATCCCCTCTTCCGCATTTGCAGCCACGAATATGGCAATTTGATCACGTGATCTGCAGGTCGCTACGTCATTTGAAAACCATCTATAAAATAGAAAAAAAAATATTTTTTTTTGGGGTGGGGCTCATTGGTGGGTCAGACAGAAGTCACCTGGCCCGCGGGCCGYCAGTTGCCCATCCCTGTAATAGAAGTGCCTTTGTTTAGGTGTACCAACAAGAATCAATGCTGTTCTGAAGATAAAGGGTGATCACAACAAATTTTGATTTGAGTTGGAGTTTTCTCTTTTGTTAGCCCACAGATAATTGTTCCCCTGATGGGAAATAAATAAGTTCATTCATCATAAGACCTGTCCTGTTCTAAACCTGAGCTGATCTTCCTGAGAGCAGCTGCATCATTGAAACGATGTTTGAGTCGACTATAATTCAGAGCTTCAGTATCTCTCTTCTCCTCAGTGTTCCTGACACGATGCACTTCAGATCTGACTCTGGCTTTTCTCAACAGGAAGTCACCACTTGTCTCCCAGACTACTACAAATGGACCCAGTATTTGTTTGTCAAGCTTTTTGAAGCAGGACTGGCATATCAGAAAGAGGTTGGAATCGCCTTTGCACTCAAATTATTCAAGGATGTGTTTTTTTTTTCCTTTTAGAAGAAAGGGATATGATTGGTTTAGGTGTGAGGTTTCTGACAGCTTTAAGAATGATGGAACCAGCTGAGCTGTCGCTCTCTGAGGACGAAATGAKTAAAGTGAAAAGAAGAAAGCTGGTTTGAAGTCTTTCGATTATCAAGTATAATAAAACAAGACTGCCTTGAAAAAAAAGCACTTAATTTTTCTGTTAAACCCAAGATTCTGCTCGAGCTCTGCTTTTTTCATTTGAAGTGTGTTCACYTGTGTGTGTTTGTGTGTGGCACACAGGCTTTTGTGAACTGGGACCCCGTTGATCAGACGGTGCTGGCAGATGAGCAGGTGGACGAAAACGGTCGATCCTGGAGATCCGGAGTTCTGGTGGAGCGGAAGCTGCTCACGCAGTGGTTCATCAAGACTACAAACTACGCTAAGGTACCACTGTGAGTGTGTGCTGGTCTTGTTTTTGAGCAGTGAGTGTTTGTGTGGCTTCTGAATAGCTGACCGGTGGTGTCATGTGGGCAAAAGAGGCTGTAGAAAAGCCCTGTGTTAACAATCACGGCTGCTCTGCCTCTCTGGTTCTGCAATCAGACCCCTGGAGACCATCATCAGCTGCCTGGTCTCGGTGTTCAAAGGAGAAACTTGGCGACAGGCTCGGGGTTGGCTTGGCAGGCTGATGAGCCTTAACCTTTCTGCACAGAGGTGAACTGGCCTGCTGCAGGGACAAATGAGCCCCGCTGAACCGAAACCGCCTCCAGAGCGTTCACACTTTTTACATGCAGCACATGCATGTGCAGCGTGACATATGTTGGTGCGTCGACGCTGAATGTTGCTCAAAGTGTTCACTGTTTGTGAGCAGGCAGAAAAACACAACTAAATCCTGCTTTTAAACTTACATCAGCTTCACTCATCTGTCTTTGTTTGGTCTTTAGAGTTGTGGAAACCTGTTAAAATAAATTACAACAYGAGCTGAAGATGATATCTATTAATAAATTGAGATGTTTAATTAGTCATCAGCGCAAAGAAAATTAGATAGTTGAGTTTAGAGACAAGAAGCAAATGTTTTTCATGTTTTGGGGTAAAAATTAAAGCAAAATTGACAATTTTATACAGTTTATAATGATGTTTGTTAAAATAACTAATCATTTCGCCTAAACTTGGTTCAATAGAGGAGGATCTGATGAACTGAAGCACAGAGGAAGTCAGGCTAAACACTTTGAAACATACGGCGACTGTAGATTTTTATCACTTTGAACCCAACAGGAGAATATATTTTATTCAATTCAATTCAGTTTATTTATATAGCGCCAAGTCACAACATACGTTGTCTCAGGGCACTGTACATAAAAAGAACAATCTAAAGAAGAAA